TTCAACCGACGAGAGAGCACACGAGCCAGGCGATCCAATTCGGTCGAATGTTTTTTTTTTTCGTACCAGGTTGGGCTGGTGCGGACCAATTTGTTTGTCCTGATTAGTAAAGATTGTAATATGGCAGGATCGAGCAAAATTATCTCACCCTATATCTAAGACAAGAAATAAAAGTATAATAAATAGCATGTCTTGACAGCTAGGAGTGCACAAAATCCGATTAACCGAGCCGAGCCGATCGAAACCTAAAACGCAGCGTGGAACGAAACCGAATACTTGGTCCGGTTTTCAATTTACTCAAAATTTTAGTTTTTGGTGCGATTTCTATAATAGTGATAGGTTAATAGATCCGGAAATGGATTTTTACACACATACACACATATGTGTGTATGTGCTGAGCCTACGTGGCTGCTTCTGGTGCTCCGGAATCCTACTTGGCAAAGAATCATGCTTTGTAATTAGGTTTGGAAAAATAATGTTGATAGATTAATATTAATAATCTAGGTTCGGACATTCCATAAATATTATTTAGCTAACTTAGGTATTTTAATATCACTTGTACTAATATAATCCTTTAATTATTTGTAATTTTACATAGTAAGACACTAAGTGACTAATATATCCCTGACTTTTGATTTGTTTCCTTCAATTAGCTATTGAATTATAAATGTATTTTAAAAGTTGGTAACTTTTAAATTTCTTATCGGTTTTACATTTATAATATATCAAATTAATCATATTTTCATAATCTTCGATTTGACATCCATATTGTATATATAAAATAAATAAATTATATTTATCTTTATAATAATAAAAAAATATTATTATTTATTAAAATTTATTAGAAAAATAAAATTATTTCTCAGATGATATATTTATGTTTAATGTAGTTATATGTTGTAAGTTAAAAGAATTATTATAATATAAGACAAGTAAGTCACACAAATAAAAAGTGTCATACTAGATATATAATAATATATATTTTAATAAAAGGTATTTAAAATTTTAACTACTTTATCTCATTCATTTTAGATTTTAAGGAAAAAATTAGCAAGAACTCGTGTAATACACGGGCGTTGTACTAGTATATTACTGATACATATAAGTTATAGAAACATTAATTCACATGAATAATTGCACTAAAGATTGGTTTAGTCACAATGCAAGTCATGGTTTGGGTTCGAGATCTTCTTTAGAGGAGAACTTGCAATTTATTGGTAAGATTAAACTGAGTGATTCAAAATTAACTTTTTTGTTCGAATACAAAATTATTTTTTTTTTATAAAAAATGTAATTATTAAGAAGATTAATTATTTATGCAGACTAACAAATAGCCGAATTAAAACTGACTACTGGATTTTTGGTTAAAAACTAAATCGAATTATGTTCAAATTTTTTTTATTTTTCTTATAATGGATAAATTAATCGAAGTTCGATCGATTCGGTTCGGTTTGGATCAAGCGGCTGGCATTGAGAGCCATGATGGACATTTGGTTGATCTTCTAAGCATCACCATTTAAAATTGGTCCATGAGTTGGGATTTTGTGCAAAAATACAGACTGAAAAGGTAATGGAGTGTAAAGGTTGTTAAACCTAGGAACTGCAGAAAGCTTATATGTCGGTCATGTCAATGGTTAAAATTATCTGAATTATTATTGGGCAATGCTATATGTACAGCCCCTTTTAATAAATTACACAAAGAAAAGTGCTATATGTACACCCCTTTTTTACACACAAGGGGGTGTACATATAGACACCCCCTTATTTAGTGTAGACAAGACGTGAAAGTATCTTAGGAAGAAAGATATGTCAAGTAGGTCTACACTTGGTTTTTTTATTTTGCTCATACAATACAATTGAAGCATAAACTGGTTGCAAGGTTGAAATTAAGTCAATTAAGATATTTGAGTAGGAGCTTTTTAGGATTTTAATACAAGTTGTGATGTGAGGTAATTAAGCCCGGGCCTATCTTGTCTGGCTTATAACGTGGGTAGACGTGGCCAAATTCCGGGCCGACGGGCCTCAAATCATGAGCCCTTAACCGGCCCGCCTATATAAAAGGGTCGGTTCATTGAACCGGTCCGACCTGACAATTCATTGAACCGTCGGTTTAAAAAAAAAAATAAAAAATTATCTGTGACCTGTCGGAAACCCGTGCCCGGCCCGGATAGGTGAGTAAAAAATGAGTACAACAAGACCCGTAAATGGCCTTAAGAGGTTTCGGGCCGGTTTAAAAACCGGCTAGGGCGGGCCGGTTCATGGCCCAGTTCACGGGCCGGGCCAACCCGTGACCATGTCTAAACGTGGTTCTGGTGCCTTATCCTAATTATGTTGAGTTTTGTTACTATACATTTTACTTGGGAAATTAAATACTTACAAATTCATATATAATTTTTAGTTTAATTTATATTTGTTAAAAAATTTATAAAACAGTATTGACTTATAGTTAATGTTTCTCGCACTACAAAATAAATGTTATATTCCAACGAAAAATTATATGGTAATATATTCCAATGAAAATTCCAACAGATATTTCAATGGAATAGCTTCCGTTGGAATAGTTCCAACAGAAATTCCGACGAAAATATTCCGTTGGAATGTGTTTTTCATTGGAATTTAAGATGGAATTTGATGATTACAACGACTATATTTCCAACGGCTTTTTGCCGTAGGAATTTCCATTGGAATATGCAAATTCCGTTGGAATTTTTTTTACCACCCCCGTTGGAAAATCCACCGTTGGAATCGTCAAAATCCAACGGAAATTCCAATGGAAAACTCATTCCAACGGAATATTTTCGTTGGAATTTCCGTTAGAATCCATTGAAAAATTCCAACGGAAATAATAGTATTGAAATATCCGTTGGAATTGCCGTTGGAATAATTCTTTTGATATATATTTCCGTTGGAATTTCATCATTTTCTTGTAGTGTCGGTATATAAAAAGTGAGCAGTGTTATTATTTCTAAATAATAAAATTTAGTGTGACAATAAATTTAAAAAAAAATAAGTAGTTAAATATTATATAATTGTTTTGAGGAAATAAAACTTTGTTGTTAGCAGCACAAAAAAATAAAATAAAATAAAGAATAAAAAAATTAAAAAACAGCCACTACAAGAATCTTGAAGAAATTCCAATGAGAAATTTCAATAAAAATATATTCCAATGGAATTCCAACGACAATTCCAAAGATATTATAGTGCTATTATTTTTATAGGAATTATCCAATGTATTCTAACGGAAATTCCAACAAAAATATTCTGTTAAAATGAAATAACCATTGAAAATTCCCGTTGGATTTTGACGATTCCAGCGATACATTTTCCAATAGAAAACTCATTCTAATGGAATAATTCCATCGAATTTTTCGTCGGAATCATTGCAACCGAAGTTATACTATTAGAATATCCGTCTAATTTTTCATTGAAATATATTACTGTAGAATTTTCCTTTGGACTATGACATCTTTTTTTAATTGAGCTCTATTATTGTTTTATTTATACCGTCAATCTCTCAGTGCTACTACCGTGTGCCTTGGCACACTTAGCAAGGTGTGCCAAGGCAGTTTAAAATGAACATGTTATTTTATAAAATGAACATGTGTGTTTACACATGTTCATTTTATAAAGTAACATGTTCATTTTAAAAAAATTTTGGCACACCTTACTAGGTGGAGGGTGCACTAAGTATTTGCATCAATCTCTAGTCATTTTAAATATCAACACCCATTCCAGTTCTGACACTATTATTGACAAGGATTAAATTAACAAGATAAATAAATTATTAACACGGGGCTTCAACTATTTTAGGCACAATATTTACTCATTCCTTACAAAAACACATGATTCTTAGTAGCAATGGCGAAATCATGATCACGTTTCGGGTGGGCTCAATTTGTCTTTAAAAAAAATTTCACGACAAAATCAAACACAAACACAAATTTTCTCCGATCCAGCTTTCCCTCCATAGCTCCATGCCTCCCTGCTCAACTGCTCTGTGTTTTCGGATTCCGGATTTTCGCTGGCGCCCCTCCGGCCATCCGCAGCGCACTACCCCCACTCCGGCATCGAAAGGGCGCCCTTCCAGTTCCAGCAAAACCTCCCACCCCTAGTTCGAATTTTTTTTTTTAGAGGGCCGGCGGCTCTCCGAACCACCATGTAGTTTCGCCCCTGCTTAGTAGTGATCACATATTACTTGAACATACCCAAAAATTTTCACAACCGAACAACATATTTTTGCCTTAAATCAATTTTTTCATTACTTTCAACAAATTAAACCTTGAGTGTGTGTTTGCATCACAAATGACCCAATGCTTGCCTAAGCAGCCACCAATTTATAGAGAAAAATAAAAATAGTATAGCTTTGTGACACAAACAAGACAACAACTAGCAAATACCCATCATGCCTCAGTAAAGCTACCAAAAATATCCCCAATCATTTAAAAAAAAATAATAATAATAAAAAAAAAATACTTAAGCAAAAGAATAACAAAGAAAACAAAAAAAAAAATAATGATAATGTCCCCCAAAGCCAACAAAGAAGCCCACCACACCCATTGGGCCCACTATGAGCCAAAGCCCATCTTTCTTCACACAATAATCTCCACACGTGCGAATCCCCCCATACAAAAATCAAACCCATCCATCATCAAGTGCACATAATTTTCAAGCAACACAATTTTTTTTTTTTATTTTTTTTATTTTTTTGGGATTCATCTTATCTTTATAATCTTGAATGCTTGTGGTTGACCTTTGCATGGATTTTCATACAAAGAACCAAAAATTTTCCCCCTTTGGACATTAATTAATTGCTTCTAAAAGAATATATTTTCATGCAAACCTCAAAATCAAATCTTGGTTCTTACACATTACTTACTTGAAACTGTGAAACAACATTAATTTCACCAACACTTTGAAGTTCCAATAATATCAATGTTTTTAAAGCTAGCTAATTATATAACTTTTTTTTCTTAATTTTTAATTGAGAGCTAATTAACAAACTAATTGTAATTTGGCTGACTAATCTCATCAAGATCATCCAGAGACAGAAAAACTTGATCCAAGCAAGAAAGCTCGGCCCCATCGTCATCGTCGCTATCGCTGTTGCGCTCGTACACACGACAAACAACCCATTTACCATAATCCTGCAGTCATTCAAAAATAAATAAATAAATAATTTTCTATTATATATATATATACTAAATTCTTGTACATATTAATGTGTGTGCTTAATTACTTTCTTGGAACTTCGTCTTTTGGACGAGGATCGACTGGTGGAGCCCGACTCGGAGTACAGCCGATATTCCTGCATTATCCATTCGGTTTGGACCCCTTCGGAAGGCTCGCCGTAGAAAAAGGAGCTGTACTTTTTCATGCCGATTTTCTGGCCGGAGTTTGAAGAGTAGATAGGCTCCTCAGCCCCTATGGCTTGCCAGTAGCCGCTTCCGGTGACTCTGCTCTGTGTCCTCCGGCTATAGAAATACCACTTGTTTCCTTCACCCATTGCTTTCCCTACATGCATTAAAAAGAAGAAGAAAATTTAGTTGGGAAAAAGTGGAAGTTGTTTTAGAATTAGAATTATATGAGTTAGAGAGTATTTTTTTGTGTATACCATTTAAGTCCCAAGGGTCATAGGGGTAAAGGTCGAGATCGGGGATGATGTCGGGATGGCATGGGAGAAGGGCGGCCTTACGTTGGAGGAAATGGACGACGAGCTCCTCGTCTGTGGGGTAAAACCTGAAACCCGGCGGCAAGTTGAAGTTGTTGTCACCCATCAAAGAGTAGTAGAAGAAAAAAAAGTTTGGCAATAAGAATGATTTGTAAGGTAGCTAGGGAGAGAAAGTAAAGCACATGAGGGGTTGGGTTTGGGTTTGTGCAATAAGCAAAAGTTGTAGTTGGATTATTATTGAGATTGTGGAGGCATGTATATATGTGTGTGTATGTATATGTGTTTGTGTGTGTTTTGGTGGGTGGAATTATGTTGTGTGGAAGAGGATAATAATAATATGAGGATGGTGGCTATAATGGTGAGGTTGTTATTGGTATTTATAGTGTGTGAGAGAGAGAGAAGAGAGAAGGTGTGTGTGTGTGTGTGTGTGTGTGTGTGTGTGTGGTGACGTGAAATGGAAGATGTGTGTGTTTTGTTTTTGGCCACCACCAAAAATTGGAGGCATGGCATTTTTTTTTTTTATTATTTAAATT